GTACTCATTTTTCATGAGTCCTTCATTTGTACTCATTTTTCATGAGTCCTTCATTTGTACTCATTTTTCATGAGTCCTTCATTTGTACTCATTTTTCATGAGTCCTTCATTTGTACTCATTTTTCATGAGTCCTTCATTTGTACTCATTTTTCATGAGTCCTTCATTTGTACTCATTTTTCATGAGTCCTTCATTTGTACTCATTTTTCATGAGTCCTTCATTTGTACTCATTTTTCATGAGTCCTTCATTTGTACTCATTTTTCATGAGTCCTTCATTTGTACTCATTTTTCATGAGTCCTTCATTTGTACTCATTTTTCATGAGTCCTTCATTTGTACTCATTTTTCATGAGTCCTTCATTTGTACTCATTTTTCATGAGTCCTTCATTTGTACTCATTTTTCATGAGTCCTTCATTTGTACTCATTTTTCATGAGTCCTTCATTTGTACTCATTTTTCATGAGTCCTTCATTTGTACTCATTTTTCATGAGTCCTTCATTTGTACTCATTTTTCATGAGTCCTTCATTTGTACTCATTTTTCTATGAATTCTTCATTTGTACTCATTTTTCATTAATTCTTTACTGGTACTCATGTTTCATAAGTTCTTTATTTGTACTCATTTTTTCATGTACTCATTATTCAAGGACTCTTTTCTTATACTCATATTTTTGAACTGCAGGTTCAGGTATTACCAGAACGTGTGTAGCTTCGGCTACACCTCCGTCTGGTGGCAATGGGACGACTGGGAAAAGAGCATCGACTGGATGGCCCTTAATGGGTACAATTTGGCTCTCGCTTTCACTGGTCAAGAGGCTATTTGGGAACGAGTGTACCTCCAATTGAATTTCACTCAACTCGAGATGAGGGAGCACTTCGCGGGACCAGCGTTTTTGCCTTGGTAAATGACATTTCAATCGCATTTTAGTCGTACGTGACGTCGATTATTTGTTTCAATGACAAGCTGAATATTTGCTTGCGTTCGATAAGACACGTTTATCGATTACATCTAGATGTAAAAATTTCCTAACGCTGCGTCCGGCGTAGTATGACCAATCAATTTTCTTCGTTATATCTATTTCGGTCAAAGTTCGACAAATTCGATGATGGAGAGGTTTGATTGTGGTGGAGATATGATAATCACTTTCATTTTAATCTGTTATTTCCTCCGTGATTTGTAGATAGTGCTACTCAGCAAATTGTTGTGATTTTTTATCGAATTTTGTTGAACACGAGATGTTATCAGACAGGAAATTATGGAGTACATTTTACTCCCGGAAATTATAGTACAAGTTAATTAATCATAAGGAATCATAAGATACCTTGATAAATCCCAGAGAATTATAGGACACTTCGATGAACCCTAGGAATTTATAAGGTGCCTTGATAAATCCCAGGGAATTATAGGACACTTCGATGAACCCTAGGGAATTATAAGGTACCTTGATAAACCTTAAGAAATTATAAAATGCCTTGATAATCCCTAGGAAATAATTATAGAACCCCTTAATGAATCCTAGGGAATTATAAAATACCTTGATAAATCCCTGAGAATTATAGGACACCTTGATAAATCCCTGGGAATTATAGGACACCTCAATTAACTCTAGCAAATTATAAGACACCTTAATAAATCCCAGGAAATTATAGAACGCCTCAATGAACTCTAGGAAATTATAAAGTACCTTGATAAATCCCAGGGAATTATAGGACACCTTAATGAACCCTAAGGAATTATAAGGTACCTTGATAAACCTTAAGAAATTATAAAATGCCTTGATAATCCCTAGGAAATAATTATAGAACCCCTTAATGAATCCTAGGGAATTATAAAATACCTTGATAAATCCTAGGGAATTATAAAATACCTTGATAAATCCCTGGGAATTATAGGACAGAGAATTATAGGACACTTCGATGAACCCTAGGGAATTATAAGGTACCTTGATAAACCTTAAGAAATTATAAAATGCCTTGATAATCCCTAGGAAATAATTATAGAACCCCTTAATGAATCCTAGGGAATTATAAAATACCTTGATAAATCCTAGGGAATTATAAAATACCTTGATAAATCCCTGGGAATTATAAGACACCTTGATAAATCCCAGGGAATTATAGAACACCTCAATGCACTCTAGCAAATTATAAGACACCTTAATAAATCCCAGGAAATTATAGAACGCCTCAATGAACTCTAGGAAATTATAAGACACCTTGATAAATCCCAGGGAATTACAGGGCACCTCATTCTATAATTCACTATTTTGTATAGGTTGAGAATGGGGAACATCCGTGCATTTGGTGGTCCCTTATACCCCTCCTGGCACGAACAATCCATTAATCTGCAACATAAGATACTTGAAAGAATGAGGAGCCTAGGAATAATTCCTGTTCTACCCTCATTCGCAGGACACGTGCCCAGGGCATTCCCTAGGCTATTCCCGAATGCCAATGTCACTAAACTTGCACCATGGAACAACTTCCCGGATGTGTATTGTTGGTAAGCAAACATTATCCTACTTGGATAAGCTAAACAAGATAATGTTGAATTTTTCTGTTATCTTCTTTATGTACCGGGTGACTCAAAAGTGGACACCACAGTATTAATTTAGCAAGGTTTTATTTAAAATATTGCAGATGACAAATTTTGTTTAATAGACATTACATTGTATAATTTGTTATAATGCTGCAGTAATTCATTATTATACAGGGTGTCTCACAACTAGTGGTCCCCGATGTCAACTACCACTGGTTGTGGTAGCTGACATGATTCAAAATGCTTAGTAAACATAATTTAGTAGACACAAATGTTTAGTAGAATCAATTTTTTATGATTCCTATATTTCAGTAAGGTTCTATTTGAAAAGTTGCAAATGACAAATTTTGTTACAGTCTCTACCTCCTGGCACCGACCGACCCCCTCTTCCAGCAAATCGGACAACTGTTTCTGAAGACCGTAAGTAATACTCAAAATTCAGAAGCTAGTTTCTATATTTCCTCTTCTTGTTTTAGTATATTGAGGAGTTTGGCACCGACCATATTTACAACTGCGATACGTTCAATGAGAACGAGCCTCACACCAGCGAACTCAAGTTCCTCAGGAACGTCGGACACTCCACCTTTCAAGCCATGAACGCTGTCGACCCTGATGCAATATGGTAATTCACGACAATTAGTATATGTGCAATTGTTAAATTATGGAATCGCAGATGGTTAAATTATGGAACTACAAATGCTTAAATTATGGAACTACAAATGGTTAAATTATGGAACTACAAATGGTTAAATTATGGAACTGCAAATTACTAAACATGATATTCTTAAAGGTTAATGCAAGGCTGGCTCTTCACCCACGACAAGCTCTTCTGGACCGAACCCAGAGTCGAAGCTTTCCTAACTTCAGTTCCAAGGGTTAGTCACAATTTACGAAAAGAAGTAATCAAGGATATAACAGTTTCTAAATTGTTTTCTGCAATCTCTAAATTGCTTTCTGCAGGGGAGAATGATAGTCCTGGACCTCCAGTCTGAACAGTTCCCACAATACGGCAGGCTGAAGTCCTATTTCGGGCAGCCGTTCATTTGGTGCATGTTGCACAACTTCGGTGGCACCCTGGGGATGTTTGGATCTGCACAAATCATCAACCAAGTGAGTTTATCCAGAAAATATAACTGCAATAATTATATGAAAATATGAAAACTACATTGATTATATGAAAATATGAGAACTGCAATGATTATATGAAAATATGAGAACTGCAATGTAACATGCAATAATTTGCAGAGAGTGTTCGAAGGAAGAAACATGAAGAACAGCACGATGGTGGGTACAGGTCTAACCCCCGAAGGAATAAATCAGAATTATGTAATTTACGAACTGATGAACGAGATGGCCTATCGTAAAGAACCCGTCAATTTAAATAAATGGTAAAACTATAAATTGTATCAGCTGGTTTTAATCAGTTATATCAATTTTAAATTGTTTATGCAAATATTTATATAGGGTGAGGCACTTAAAACCGACCTGAATAACTTGACTACTATTGTTCATAGAAAAAAATGCATCAAGCTAAAATTATTTAGTTAGGTTAAGTTATATTAGGTCAGGTTAGGTTAATAATTCAGTTGGCAATTTTTAAATAATTTATGCAAACATTTATACAGGGTGAGGTACTTAAAAGCGATCTAAATAACTTGGCTGTCATTGCTGATAGGAAAAATACATCAAGCTAAAATTATTTGGTTAGGTTAAGTTATATTAGGTCAGGTTAGGTTAATAATTCAGTTGGCAATTTTTAAATAATTTATGCAAACATTTATGCAGGGTGAGGTACTTAAAAGCGATCTAAATAACTTGGCTGATAGGAAAAATACATCAAGCTAAAATTATTTGGTTAGGTTAGGTTAAGTCCCATAATACTAAATAATTTTTGTGCCTCATCTTATATAATTATTTCCAACATATGATTGCATGAAGCTACCCTCTGACAACGTTACTGTGAATCGTTTATATATTATTGTTTTTAGGAATATTTTCAATAAAATTGTTACGTTATTTTTAGGTTCGAGAATTATGCGAGTAGAAGATACGGGGTTTGGAACGAGTACGCAGTGTCTGCCTGGCAGAGTTTGGGAAGAACCGTTTACAACTTCTCTGGTACCCGCAAGATTAGGGGCAAATACGTGATCAGTAGACGTCCGAGTTTAAATCTGTCGACATGGGTCAGTATTATTTAGAGATTAACGTTCTGAATTCTTTAAGAGAATTCTTTCGTCAATTTAATCTGTTGTAGACGTGGTATGATCGCGACACGTTGTACAACACCTGGAGCGTGTTCCTTCAAGCCAGACACGGGAGGAGAAACAGCACCCTGTATCGTCACGACGTGGTCGATTTGACCCGACAAGTTCTTCAGGCGAAGGCGGAAGAAATCTACCCTGTTTTGATCGATTCGTTTAATAAAAAAAATCTTACTGCCTTCAAGTAAGTGTAACTAACATAACAACTCCATCTGAGTTGAAGATCCTATTAGATTTTAAAAATTTTCCTCTGTATTAGATTCTAAAAATTTTTCTCTGCATTAAATTCTAAAAATTTTTGTCTGCATTAAATTCTAAAAATTTGTTCTGCATTAAATTCTAAAAATTTTGTTCTGCATTAAATTCTAAAAATTTTGTTCTGCATTAAATTCTAGCATTAAATTCTAAAAATTTGTTCTGCATTAAATTCTAAAAATTTTGTTCTGCATTAAATTCTAAAAATTTTGTTCTGCATTAAATTCTAAAAATTTTGTTCTGCATTAAATTCTAAAAATTTTTCTCTGTATTAAATTCTAAAAATTTTGTCTTGTATTAAATTCTAAAAATTTGTTCCAAACTGTAGAAAAAGAAATTGCACAGAGAACATGAAAATTTTATAATTAATAATAGTTGTATTTCACATATTAAATGTTCTGTATTTGAGCTACATTCTCTATGTGTAAGATATACCTTAGCTACAAAATATTAATTTTTAATTCTTCCACAGATATCACTCTGACAAGCTTCTCGACTTATTCGACGACTTAGAATTGATATTAGCGTCCGGAAAAGACTTCCTACTCGGTAAATGGTTGGACGCAGCCAAAAAATTAGCCAGCAACGACGAGGAACTGCGTCTGTACCAAGTGAATGCTAAATACCAGATTTCTCTCTGGGGACCACGAGGAGAAATAAGAGATTACGCGAATAAACAATGGGCCGGAGTCGTGGCGGATTATTTCAAACCCCGTTGGTCCATTTTCCTGGAGAGCCTCGAAAATGTTCTGAAAAATAGGACGAAATTGGACACCAACAAAATTAACGAGAGGATACTTGACGAAGTCGAATTTCCGTTCACGATGTCCATCAAATCTTACCCAACAGACGAACTCGGTATTGAAATATTTCTTGTCTCAATTTATACTTTCTTCAATAGCAAGATTATTTATATTGTCATTTAGTTAGGATATCATATCTTTACTGTTTCATATGAAAGTCTTGTGTCATCGTTGCAAAAATTTGTTAAAATTAAAAGTAGCAAAGTTATAACAGTGATTTGTTATAGAACGAAAAATTTGTTGCAGGGGACAGTGTTGACATAGCAGTGAAACTTCTGTCAAAATGGTATACGTCGAACAAAGGAAAGACGTCAAGATTGATTAGAGGAGGTGGAGATAGAGCAAAAATATTTTAAGGAATAATTGAACTAGTTTGATATGAGTGTGTAAGAATTCATCTGTTGAAATTTAAAATTTAATTAAAATTTGTTGGTATTCTTATGTCATATATGGCAAGTAAATAAAATCTATGTAAATTGCATATTTATGAAAATTGATCGGTGGCGCCATCTTTCTGGCGAACGGGATGAACTACACACTTTTGGAACAGTAGTTTCGTTAGTTCAGATATGGTACAGGTAGATGGCGCCATGGGTATCGTTCTTATTTTCTTTTTTTGCTTGACTGACGACTGTCATGACAGAACTCTTCCTCATCGATGACTCTACTGACAGAATTCTTCTTAACCGACGGCTGCGACAACAGAACTCTTCTTTACCGAGGACGGTTATAACAGAACTCTTCTTTATCGACGGCTGTGGTAACAGAACCCTTCTTAACCGACGGATTTCATAATCACCGTAGGACCGATACACCGTGGCGCCATCTAGCGGTGCCGTGTAGGAACTAACGAAGCTCCCCTTTCAAAAGTGTGTAGTTCACCCCGTTCGCCGGAGAGATGGCGCCACAAGTACCATTTCCGAAAAAGCCCATTAAACACTAATTTTAATAACTAATATGCCATTTACTTATCACACATTGATTAATACTAATTCTACGCTGTGTAAAACATACCCCACAGGCCCAAGAATACAAATTATGTATACAATTACCACAATTTTCTTTCTGACCCCCACTTACTCCAAGATGGCGCTGAATTTGCTCAGAAAAAAAGCGCGGGAAAGTACGAATTTCAAAAAAGTAGTCCAAAGACTTTCAAAGTACTCTCAAATTAATTATCTAACAAACTACCTCAGTGGGAATTAAAACACCTAAAAATTACTTTGTAAAGATCATTATTATTGATAAAAGGGCGCTCTACAACTGTCCAATAAAATTACGGAATGGAAACAACAACAAGACAAACGTGACGAGGGTCCCTAGTACTTAGATTTATAAAAATAAGTAGTGGAGTTAGTAGATTTGTGAAAGTATAATTAGTGAGATAGGAGAAACGGGTTACGATAATTCGCTCCTCATCAACGTTCACTGGTCGTACAATATGGCAGTATAGACGACTGTAACCTCGTTCGAATCGACTGCCTTTCGTTCGCAATTTTTAACGAGAAACAATCGGTTTGATTGTCGAGGAAATTCACGGTTCGAAAGATGACTCGAGTTTGATATTTTTGGTCGTCTAGTCCAGTCGATGCCCTCTGAACGGTCACGCTTCGATCGATTTATTAAGCACTCGATCAATGATGGACCCTCGATTGACCAATCTCGTCAATCTAGCGTTACAATGGAAAATTTTTAGTTCTGACGACGATCAACGTATCACAAGCTTTATCTTTTGATTTCTGATCGATTTCAGTACTATTTTATTTAATTTAATCTCACAAAATTTCATATAACATCGATTCTTTTTAATTTGATTCTGGTAAATTTTAAACTGACATTTGTTAAGGATCGATAACAATTATTTAGTACAATTATCTCTGTACAATTCGTAGCAAGTTTAATTGAGAATATAAGTTGAATACCAATCGAGAGTCAATCAATACAGCTCTGCTTAAAAGGTGCATATCTAGTAGGTACAAAATATCTTGTGCATTTCGTAAGAATATTCCGAACGTGAGCACACCTATCACTATACAATGGAGTGGACAAATTGTTTACAATATTTCTGTCCACGAGCTGTACTTCTGGAGATACGTAATATTGAAGAGAAAGATTTCCATACATATACACCTTACATTCTATTACGAACATTTTGAGCATCACGAATTTGAAGAGTACAGATATCTCCGGAAATTCGATAAGAGATTTTAATTAGAGAAGATTAGTAAGTAGGGTTTCAAAATATTCAAGAAGGAAAGCGTATGGTTTGGTACATAGAAAGCAAGTATAATAGTATTAGATTTTATTTTGTAAGGAATATTATGTACCTTCAGAAATATCGTAAAATACTAGTCTTTTTATAACATATATACCCGTAACGATTAGACGGAGATTGTCTAACGATGGACAATTTGTGGGAAATAAGTGGAGAATTTGGTGGTTTGAATTGCGCGCGCTTGGAGCGCGCGAA